GGCGGGGGGCATGGTGGAAACTGTTACGTATAAATGTTCCCGTAAAAAAATCCTCCTGGGTGCCGCCTGCCGTGCTGGGAGGAGAAGCCCCATCCTTGTGTCCCGCTCACCCGCTCCTTCCATCAGCACACGGGCCTGGGTTTTGTGCCTGAGGAGGTGCCTGTACACAGGGCAGTGTGGAGGCCTGTGGCAGTGCCACCCGGCCAGGTGTTCCCATGTCTGCTGAGGGTTCTTCCCTTTCCCCTTTCTCTTCCCAGCCTTTTTTTTCCCTTCCTCGTTCTCTCTTCCCTTTTCCCTTTCCCCTTCCTTCTTCCTCTTGATTCTCTCCTTTTCATTCTCCCCCCCATCATAGATCACGTCTCACTCATCTCCCTGATCCTCTCTGATCCCCCTGATCCCATTATCCTTAGCCATCACCTTCACACGCTGTCACAGCCGTGCCAGGCGCTCAGGAGGCTCCCCCAGCCCTGGGAATTCTCCAGAGGGCACTGGGCTCCAGGCTGGGCAGCTCCGAGGGTGAGGGGCCCTCCCTGTGCTGCTCTGGGCTGAGCTCCGGCCCCTCTGCAGCTGGGTGAGCCATTCCTCCGTGAGCCTCCTTCAGGCAGGAGCACCAGGGACACTGAGGCAGCCTGTAGGGCCACTCCTGGGTCTGCAACAGCCTGAGAGGGCTTTGCACTCCAAATGCTGCTTTTCAGAGAGCCACGCAATGGGTTAGCATGGAAGGGACCTTAAAACTCATCCCAGTTCCACTACCTGCCATGGGCATGGACATCTTCCACTATCCCAGGCTGCTTCAAACCCCATCCAGCCTGGCCTTGGACACCTCCAGGGATCCAGGGGAAGCCACAGCTGCTCTGGGCTCTCTCTGCCAGGGCCTGCCCACCCTCCCAGGGAACAATTCCTTCCCAATATCTCATCTATCCCTGCCCTCTGGCACTGGGAAGCCATTCCCTCTGTCCCAAGTCCCTCTCCCACTCTCCAGGAGCCCCTTTAGGCACTGGAAGGGCCTTTAAGGTCTCCCTGGAGGCTATAGGTTTTTGGGAACTGAAGTCTATCTGGACAGGGAATGTCCTTCTTGATGTAACTACACCCCAAACTATCCACATGGCTGCCAACTTCTCAAAGTCTCATGGATCCCAGTATCTCTTGTGGCTGCCAAGAAGGGAACACACCTTCCGTGGCCATGTCTGAGGAGAGAGGGGCCTCACCAGTGCTACTGCTCTCTCCTGGGAAGGGAGGCTGCAAGGAAGGGCCCTAAAGTCAGGAGTAGGCTGTCAAATCCACACAAGTAGGATATGACAGCATGAGGGGAAATAGCCTCAAGTTGTGCCAGGGGATGTTTATATTAAATATTAACAGAACTTTTTTTTGTGGAAAGGGTCCTGAGGCCCTGGGATAGACTGCCAGGGGAAATGGTACAGTCACTATCCCTGTAAGTGTTCATAAAACATATGGATGTGACACTTGAGAACAAGGGTTACTGGTGAACATGGTGGTACTAGCTTGACTGGATGATCTTAAAAGTCTTCTCCAACCTTAACAATTCTCAATGCTTTCATCTGGAAGAGCTCTGACACCGCAGCTTTGCAGGGAGAGAAAATTATTTGGGGCTTTATTTCTTGCCTTTGCCTTTGCCCTTGCCCTTTCCCTTCTTCCGTAGTGACTTGTACTTGCACCGCACAAAGTAGCCTTTCCAGTAGGCCTGGATGCAGGTGGCAGCTTGGTTCCTCCTGGCCTCCTCCCGTTCAGCCTCCTCTGCCTTCTCCTGGAGAATCCTGCGCTCCTCCTCGATCAGGGTGTACTCCTGGATCAGCAGGGCGTGTTTCTCCATCAGCACGGCCAACTGCTTCTTCTCCTCGTCGTAGGCAATCTGGAGCTCATCATATGTAGTCTGCCAGGACAGCAGGGATCAGGGACAGCTGGGCAGCAGCTTCTCCCCACACCCCCAGGTGGGGGTCCTGAAACCCATCCCAAACCATGGAACCTCAACTGGTTGGAGCCTTTCCAAAGTGATTCAAAAGGAAGGGATGTGCCCAGTACCCAGGGAGTCTCATGACGTGCTGGGTGCCTTGATGCTCCCCTGAAAAATGCTCCCACACACAGTGGAAGATTTGGAGAACCAGCAGTGCATCTGCCAGGGTGTTGCAATGAGCTGAGCTCTCCAAAGCAGCCCTGCTATAGCAGGAACTGCCTGGCACAGCCTCTCTGCTAAAGATTTTGGGTCTTGTACTGCAGCTCTAACTTGGGTTTGATGTTTTGTCAGTGTGGGGGTGGGTCTGCCTTGACAAATTCTGCCCCAAACCATGGGGCTTCTGCATCTCCAGGGACAGGAAACCAAAATAATCCCATTATTAAACATCTGACAGGGGATCATTCCTTACAATTAGCAGCAGCTTTCAGGCCCCTCCCTGTATTTTGCTCTGTAAGGAATCCAGCAGCTTTTATCCAATCCCATAAATACTGCAAGAACAGGAAAGCCCCCAGAGCCTTCCTAGAGGCAAATTTTGGGGTTTCTGATGTGACCCTGAGCCTGTTATGGCTCAGTTGTGGGCAGGCTGTTGGGTATCTTAACACCCACCACATCCCCCAAGGATTCAGCAGGAACAGGAGCAGAATTTGGACACCAGGTAGGGCCATGAGGATTGAGGATTGGAGCAAAACTGAAAAACCTGTTTCCTGGCATCAGGTGGACATCCCAGACAGAACATGGTGACCCATTTGCCCTCAGATACTGTGGGATTTAGCACAGATTTATCCCACAGATACTGTGGGATTTACTGTGGGATTGAGTGGATGTAACTTTTCCTAAAGCCAAAGGAGCAGAGGACTCCTGGACACAGAGGCAGGACAAAGATCCCTTTCCTGTAGGTTTGCCTGGATGCTGAACTGCCTCTGATTTCCATGGTCTTCTGTGTCCCTTTGGACAGGAATCTACCTAAGGAAATCACTTTATGGCAGAGCAAAGCACTTAAAGCCAACACCTGTTTTTCTGTCATGTCTGTGTCGTATTTCTGGACCCATTCCTGAATTTCCCTCTCTGTTTTGCACTTTTCCTGAAAAACAAAACAAGATTAGATCCTTGAAGACATCTAAGGCCTGGTAAGAAGTGTCCTGAGTGAGAAAACAGGGAAACTTTGAGCCACATCACCATTATATCTAAGTATTTGAGCCACAGCATCATTATATATCTGAATATTTCACCTCCTCCCTGTGACAAGCTTCCCTCAGCTGACACATATGTGGTTTGCCCTGGTTTAAGGATTCTCCTGGGACATTCCCAGAGGGCTTTATTTGGTTTACAGCATGGAGCTGGGGGGATGAGCAGCACCTGGAAGTTGCTTTCTGCAGGAGGAAATGAACGTGTCTGATGGAATGTGGCAAGTCATCGACAAACTGAGGCAACCAGCCTGAAACTGAAGCAGGAGAGAACTGCAAAACCTGAATTTGGGACAGAAAGTACTCAGAAGATGGTGGTACCTGTTAAAAGAAAGAGATCTTTCTGGCTGTACAACAGTTTAACAGTGGCTGTGCTCCTGTACAGCCTGGGGCAGGTTCCCTCCAGCTCTGGATGTGTGCTCTGTGGAATCATTCCTGCTCCATTTCCTGTGTGGCAAAACCCCAGCATGGCCTAAGGGCTCCCAGGCCATCACGAGGTCCCACCTGAGCTATTTAGACCACAAGTACAACTTGTACTTGCTGAGGAAAGGAGGTTTCTGTGGTCAGTAAATGCATCTGCTGGAGTGCTGGAATGAGCTGAGCTCTCCAAAGCAGCCCTGCTGTGGCAGGAACTGCAGCAGGAACTGCCTGGCACAGCCCCTCTGCCAAAGATTTTGGGCCTTGTACTGCAGCTCTGACTTGGGTCTGATGTTTTGTCAGTGCCCAGCCCTTCATGCTGCACCACCCAATGCAAGAGTGCCACATGCCACATCACCACCTGGGCTTCCTACCCATGGAAGGCTGCACTGGTTTGGAGAGAATACTCGGGATGAGCAAAGTGAGAAGGAAAATGCCCTTTTTTCCAGTTCTCAGTTCTCTGTGTCACCAGTGTGTTCTGCTCAGGGCAGAGTTGGTGCTACAGGGGGCTGAGCCTGCCTGCTGCTCCCATTCCTCCTCCTGAATCTGCTCAGCCCTGGGGACAAGGACTTTGGGGTGCTGCTGGGTGAGGGCTGCACCTGCCCCAACCCTGAAATCTCCCAGCCCTGCATGAGTCCCCAGCATGGGAAGCAGGGCAGGGGGGATTCTGCTCCTCTGCCCCAGCTGCAGAGCTGCCCCAGTCCTTGGCACAGCACAGGAGGGACCTGGAACTGCTGGAGACACCCCAGAGGAAGCACCAGAGATGCTGCAAGGGCTGGAGCCAGGCTGGGAGAGCTGGGGGTGCTCATCTGGAGAGGAGAAGGCTCCAGGGAGAGCTCAGAGCCCCTGGCAGGGCCTGAAGGGGCTCCAGGAGAGCTGGAGAGGGACTGGGGACAAGGGATGGAGGGACAGCACACAAGGAATGGCTCCCAGTGTCAGAGGGCAGGGATGGATGGGATATTGGGAATGGGGAATTGTTCCCTGGCAGGGTGGGCAGGCCCTGGCACAGGGTGCCCATTCTGGATCCCTGGCAGTGCCCAAGGCCAGGCATTGGGGCTGGGACATTGGGGCTGGGAGCAGCCTGGGACAGTGGAAAGTGTCCCTGCCATGGCAGGGGTGGTCTTTAATGTCCCTTCCAACCCAAACTATTCTGGGATGATTCTTTGAAGTTACATTTCTCCCCCTTTCAGCCCAGCCTGACTCCTTGGCTTCTCTGTTCTGCCAAGCTGGGCAGTGCAGCACCTGCTGAGCCCTCAGCATCAGCTCCATTCCACCCTGAACAATAAATCAGCTCTAAAAGATGTCTTCTACCAAGCCAATATTGCTTGCTCTGCTCCCCCTACAGCAGACCCCTGGTTTGTCACTATCCCACACGTGTCCTGCTCCTGCTGGCTGCCCTGAGCCCTGCCTGGTGTCACAGCACAGTGGGAAGGTGTTCCCAGGCAGCAGGAGCAGGACCTGTGACAGCTCCGTCCCTGCTGTCGCTGCAGGGCTGCTTTGCACTGGAATCAGCAGAGCATGAGGACAGGGCGGGTGTGCTGTGACAAACACCATGTGCATCCTGCCAGGAACAAGCAGGGAGCAGGGAACTCCTTGCAGCAGGCAGCAGCCAGAGCTGACAGCTCTGCAAAAAGGCTTCAACCTCCTGTCCCAGGGCTCTCCTCCCCTTTACCTTCCTGAGAACCAGCTCTGAGGCTCGATGCTCCAGCACCAGTGCACTGAACTGTGTTCCCAGGTGCTGAATGTCCTCCTTCAGCCTGGCACACCTCTCCTGGGAGGCTTCCTCATCCCCCTTTTTCTGCTTTCCCCCTTCCTTCATGAGCAGCCGGATTTCAGTCCTGCAGTTCTTGGCCAGATCTTCCATGGCGGTTTTGAGGTTTTCGATTTCTTTGTCCTTCTTGCTAACCTAGACCAGAAAAAAAGAAGAATTCCTTTGGGAAATGCCCCTGAGGATAAGGTGAGCAGGAGAAGAAAAGCTGGAGGAGATCCAAGAAGGGACCCCCAGGGGCCAGCTCAGGTAGCACCAAGGCCCTGCCACTGCTGGCTGAGGGAAGTCAGATTTACACAGGAGCTTTGGAAACCTTCCCCTGGCTCCTCTGGGAACCTGTTAGTAAAGGCACAGAGTGAACAAACCATCCCAAGCCCCACTGGCACTGCCACCTGAGGAGCAGCCAAAACAGATTCCCTGGAGTGGTCCTGTGGCTCCCTCAAGGGCTGCATCAGGCTCCGAGTGACTGTCTGGGGGACACAGCTCAGGGAGGGAAATCCCCAGCTGGGATCACTGAAACAGATTTATTCCCCATGTCCCGGACAAGCTGCCAAAGTGCACATAAAAATCTCAATTCCCAGAACTCCAAGGAGCAGAGGGAAAGGGGAAAGCTGGCTCTGCCACCAGTGAGCAGGGCAAAACCTTCTCAGCCAACCCCTCTTGCAGGGAGGAGAAAGAGAAACCCAGGTAGAAAACAAAGGATTGTTGTCAGAAGCTCTGGGCTTGCTACACAGGCTGGGAAAGTGCCTGGGAAGTGCCCAGTCAATTATCTGCATCTCAGCTGCAGATAAAATTAAAGATTCATGTAATTTGTATAATCACTGATTAATCACAAAGGCTCCAAAGCAGCTGTTAGAGTTGAGAGTCGCAGAAATGTTGGTTTTAAGCAAGAGTGAAGACAGAGCAAATATTAAAAATGGATTTTAATCAGAGCAATCTCTCCCTGTAATGATTTTTCATTCTTTCAGCAGCAGGGAATGAAGCAGCTGGCATTGTCACCCTGCCAGGATACCACCACAGCAGCTTGTGCCTGTCCTGCCACTCCTCTGGAACGCAGGGATTTATATTGTTCAAGTTGGCTGGTGACAACAGGTTCAAAACTTGCCAAATTTGAGTTTAAAAAAAAAATCAAGCGTGCAATATGCATTTTTCATTATATTTTACAATAAAAATATTAAGTTTTAGATCTGGTTTAGAAAGGATTTCTGAAACTTGCTCTTTAGGAACTGCAATAAAGGGATCGGTTTATAGTTAGCAAGGTTTTGCTCCAGTAAAAAGCAACTTTCCACTTGGTTGGAAAACACATTCCCACAAGGTCATACCTCTTCATCTCGAGCCTGGATGAGTCCTTCGAGCTGTGCCTGTAGAGCTGAGATCACTTCTGTGTTTTTCTCAACCTGGAGGGAAATGTCTTTCATGAATTGAATCATTTCCCTCTCCTCATCAGGAGTGGTCAGGAGCCTCTCGAGCATGGAGTCCCGGAACTCCATGAAGGCTTTGATGAACGCATCAGCTGCTGACTCTCTCACCCGAACTTCGAATTTCAGCCCATGGTAAAGCAAGGGGTTGACCAGGAAGAGCCTCAGGATGTTTCTCAGGGAACTTTTCAGGCGTTTCTCTGCAGCTCTCAAGGTCTTTGCATCTCCAGCGCTGGTGTGCAGCTGCTGTATTTCCATTGAAAGCTTCTGAAGCTCCAAAAGGCTGCTTGTGATCTCAGGTCCCAGCATCCCAGCATACCTGTCCAGGGAGCCAGTAATCCGTGGGATCAGCCTGGTGATCTCCAGCTTGACAATGGTCTCATCCAAGACAGTCATGATTCTTTCTGCCTCCGTGCTGTCAGGCTTTAGCTGGCGTGGATCTAACACCTTCATGACACCTAAGGGGATCCCTGCCTTCCTTGGAGTTGCCATTGCCTTCACCAAGGTTCTTTGCTTCGTGAGGATGCTTGGAATGCAGCTGGATCCTCTCTTGCTATGGATTCACTGAAACACCACTGGCCTGGGTGGTTTCAGGTCTAGCAAGGACACGGCAGCTCTTACACAAGGTGAGACTCTGGAAGAAAATGGAGGTCCCTGTGCTGCTGTTGTCACATAATCTCCTTTCTTGGATTTTCTCTCTAAAAGGAAAACACAGTTACAGGATTAGAGAAATTATGTAATTTGGGAAAACATGAGAGTCCAAGATTACCATGGAGTTCTCTCTGAGTCTGGGCAGGGGTCAGGACATGGGGTTGTGGATTATAGCTGGTCTCTGTCCCAGAGCAGCTGTCAAACACCCATGGAAGGGGGTGATGGATTCCTGGCTTTGAAGGGTGGGGGGAAAGCTCCCAACAGTTTTTAAGTAGCAGCTGAGGTAGAGCAGCACAAGCTGCAGCTCTGCTGTCCCCAGAGGGGTGTGGAGAGCCCTGGGGCCACCCTGGAGGGGAGGGGAGGGTTCCTAGTGAGAAACCTCTATGGGAAACCTCTGCCCTTCCAGGCCTGTCCCTGTCAGAGGGAGGAGGAGGGAGAGGGGAATCTGGCAGGGACAGAGCAAGAGGAGGAGAGAGGGGAGGAGATGGGGACAGCTGTAGCGGAGGGGCCGACAGGGAGTGCAGGGTCCCCTTGGTGCGGGTGTGGGACAGCAGGAGGACCCAGAGACCGGGGAGCAGTCAGAGGTCGAGGCGGTGATCCCCGGTGGGGACACCCCCGTGCGAGGGGCGGGCGGCGAGGGGCCGGTGCGGGAGGATCCGGGGGCTCCGTGGGATCAGCGGCCCTGGGCATCCCGGGGGCGGGACGGGGTGTCTCAGGAGTCGGTTACTGGGGGATGCCGGCCCCAGGCGGCCTCCACCCCTGAAGCGCACTCGGTTCCGATCCTGATCCTGGTGCCGATCCCGATCCCGATCTTGGTCCCGACCCCGATCCCGATCCCGGTCCGGATCCCAATCCCGCCGTCAGCGCCTCCCGTTGCCAGGCGACCCGAGGGGGCGGGGCTTTTCCCGGCGGTTCACGGCGAGCTGTGCTAGCCCCGCCTCCTGTCGTTTGATTGGCAGTGCCGCTGTCCAATGAGAAGCCCCGCTGTCGCGACTGCCGGGCGTTGGGGTGTGTCATGGTGCCGAGGGGGCTGTGAGGGGTGAGGGGGAACAGCCGGTTCGTTCCTTCTGAGCTGCCCAGATCTGTGATCCTGACAGCACGACGAGTAACCCGAAGAATAAACTTTATCCCCACCACGAGGTGACGTCTGCCAGGCGCGGGTCAGCCCAGTGGGTGTCCAGGAGCCCCGAAGGGGCTGTTTTGAATCATCAGGACACAAGAGAGCTCCCCTGAGCCGCACTATTAACGTGGCTGGTTGTACAGGGCTATAAAGTGATAATGAACCTCAGCTGATGAAGATGCTGATGCTGTACAGGCTGAGTTAATTGCTTAGCTGTGATTTACTGACGTCTGCAAAGAGCTCGATGGCCCCTGAACGCTGCCCTGCAGCCGGCCCTCAGCCTGTGCCCATGGATGCCCACGGGAGGGGAGGGTTTGGTTTCCAGCAGCAGACACAGCAAATGCTGAGCTCCAGGCCACGCTCACAGCGATGTCTGTCCCTCGCAGGAGCTGGCACAGCACAGTGGTGGAGTGGCCATGCCCTCACAGGCAGCCTTGTCCGGGGTCCCAACCTTATCTGTGTTATGTTTGCCCAATTATCCCATCATAAAAAGGCCAAACAATATTAAAAGTAGTAACAATTTTAATTAAATAGTTTAGAAAATATATGAACAAGGCATAATTTGGTTCAAATAATAGCGCATAAGCAAAAACAACCGCAGGGTACGGAGGGCAGGGTTCAATGACCCTTGCCACTTCACGTACAAGCTTGCCAAGTGAAAGTCACCCCTGATATGCCATGTGTCAATGCCATCTCCTCCTATTTTCGGTTCATCACTTTTCTGTCTCCGCCTTCATTACCACTTTTACCACACATGTGCCACCACTCTGTTTGGTGGTCGCACAAGTCTGGGGGTCGTCACTGATGAAGGCCCTGTAGTCTTCTTCGTTGTCCTTTAATTCACCTTTGGGTTACACATGCGCACCAAGCCAGTACAACGTAAGCCAAGACTAACGTATCACTGCATCTACATATCAAAGCAATAAGTCCCTTATAATTAGCATTTTCTTGGACCCAACCAGGTTCTTGGTCATTTTTAGCAACTGTATCTCCAGCTTCTTTCCTGTGGTCCTTGAGAGCATCTGCTGGGAAGGGGGGAGGGTGGGTGGAGCCCCTGCTTTCCCTCTCTTCTTTGGCATTACAACTTTTAACTACTAACTGTTTTATTATTCTCAAATATTAATTACTGTATCAATATTGATTACTGTTTCAATTTTTATCAGCACGAATCATACCTATTTATCACACCTGGCCCAAGCAGCTCCTTTATTTCTGTGCAGGGAGTGTCCAAGTGCCGGAATAATTTTGCTCACCCATTCCCAACTGCTTCCCTACACAAAGCAAAGAGGGGCTGGTGGTGGGAGATGTATTGGACTGGGCTTTCTGGTGTGGCACTGGTGAGGATGGATGAGGGGACACTTGGCATACCTGGTACCATCTCCACCACCCCCAAGTCATTTTCTTCCAGGCCCATTACCTGGAGCAGTGACCTCCATGGGGGTTCCCTCCTGCCCTGAGTGGCTCAGCCAAAGGATTGATTCTAATCAAGAATGGGATTGAGTGTGACAGTGACTCTGGGTTTGGGCCCACCCCAAGCTGGAACATCCCCAGCCCGCTGTGGGAAGAAGGGACAGCTGGAACTCTGAGGCTGCTCTGTAGCCTCCAGGGAAAGCACTGACCTCCCCAGGAACACCTTCTAAAGCTCTCATTCAGCAACTGGGATCCAGAAGATCTGTGATTTCCTGGCTGCACTATGATTGAGAGCACAGCAGAACTGTGATTTGAGTTCTGTCAGTTGGATGTGTCCTCATGGAGCTCATCACACAACGGAGAACAGCCCTTGAGACATGGAGAGCTGCTGCTTTTCTTGACAAGGACTCCAGAAGGGATCCCTGATCCCCCTGAAAGGCTGCCACATGCACTGCAGATATTTTGGAATTAAATCCATCATGAAAAGAATGTCTTTCCAAAGTTGAGGAGTGTTCTGATTGCTTTGTTTGAAATGTGCTACTGCTCTCCATGAAGGGCAGACTTGGACTTGTTGACAACCATGACCTGGAGATGGCATCAACTGGCCAGTGACTGTCACCAGAGTCCCCTGAGTCTGGTGTGCACAGCCTGCTTGAAGGGACAGCAAGTCGTTGTGACATCCAGGGAAAGGGGTAGAGCCGTGGGTCGCATCCAAACCTCCTTGGAAGCAGGGAAAACTGTGGATCACTGCTGCTCCCTCCTGGATCTGGGTAATTACAGACACTGCCACCTTGCAGGAGGAGATGGGAGTGATGACACATGTCCAGAGCAGCCCTGACTCGTCCTGCAGCTCCACACTGCTCCAGGCCAGCAGCAGCTCTTCAGCCAGGAGGAAAACTGGGTCACTTTGGGAGCTGGATGAAGCATCACCAAACCTGCGTCAATCCCACCTCATCCAGGATGTAGAAAAGCCTCAGATCTATCCTCAAACAATTCTCTGCACCCAAACCCACCAGACTGCATCACTGCCTGAGCCAGAGCTGCCCAAGCATCCAAATTATGTGGGGCATGTCCAAGCAGGGGAGGGAGAGCCTGGAGCCCCTGGCACAGTGTCCCCCACAGTTTGAGTCCAGCTGTGTTCCAACAGCAGGACTGTGACAGATACCTGAGGGCCATGGACTCCCCTGGCCCCAGCTGGCCTCAGCCACCACCCAAACCCCTCTCCAGGTGCTGAATCCCATTCCTCTGCAGCAAAGGGAAGCACAGCTCAGAGTGTGGGAGCTGGCAGGTCAATCTGCCGGGAAAAACATGATCCACCCCAGCCTGGTTTGCCCAAATAATTCCCCTGTTCCAGCTACCACCCACCCCTGTGTGGGACCAGGGAAGAGACACCAAGGAGGGACATGATTTGAATTGATTGTGAAATGTTGGTGACAGAGCAGGAGCACACAATGAAGCCTTGCTGCAGGCAGCAGCACCCCATCCTGTCACTGCAGGGCCAGTCCCTGTGACGGTGTTCACAGGGGTCGCAGGATGAGGGAAGAGATGAGGATCTGACTCCATGTTTCAGAAGGCTGATTTATTATTTTATGATATATATTATAGTAAAACTATACTAAAAGAATAGAAGAAAGGATTTCATCAGAAGGCTAGCTCAGAATAGAAAAAGAATGATCACAAAGGCTTGTGACTGGCCGAGACAGTCCAGACAGCTGGGCTGTGATTGGCCATTAATTAGAAACAACTACGTGAGACCAATCACAGATGCACCTGTTGCATTCCACAGCAGCGGATAATCAATGTTACATTTTGTTCCTGAGGCCTCTCAGCTTCTCAGGAGAAAAAATCCTAAGGAAAGGATTTTCATAAAACATGTCTGTGACAAGTCCCCTCCTGCCAGAGTCCTTTAGCTGTAGCCTTACATTGTGCCCTGCTGGCAGCATGGAGCTCTGGCACCACACCAAGGCCTGCAGGACTCCACAGGGCCAGCTGATCCCTGACCACATCCCTCCTGCAGCTTTGGCGCTGCTGTTCCTCATTCCCATGTCCCGCTGTCAGTGGGATGATGGCATCTGTATCCCGAACAGTTGGGAAGGAGTTTGCACCTCCCTGGCCCCCAGAGCCTGTCAGGAAGGCCCAGACAGGGCACAGAGAAACCAGGGAGTCCCTGCAGCATAGAGCTGGCTGAAGGGATGAGAGAAGTGGGGTTGGTGTAAGCTCTGAGCTAAAGGACCCAACAAGGAAAATGGGAGGGCTGGAGGTGCTGGGTTGGCTCTGAGAGCACCAGGCTGGAGCTGGGTGGCAGGAGCAGGAGTGCAGAGGGATACAGCCAGCTGTGGGCAGATGTGGCACAGGAAAATGTCCCTGGGGCTGTGAGAGCACTGAGACCAGAATGTGTGAGTTTGGTGCTAATCTGTCTGCTGAGGCCAAACCTCAGATCCTGTGTCCAGTTCTGGGCCCTTTAGGACAGGAGAGACCTGGAGGGGCTGGGAACGGAGCTGGGCAGGGGCTGGAGTCCCAGGAGAGGCTGAGGGAGCTGGGCAGGGGCTCAGCCTGGAGCAAAGGAGGCTCAGGGGGCCCTTGTGGCTCTGCACAGCTCCTGCCAGGAGGGGACAGCCGGGGGGTCGGGCTGTGCTCCAGGGAACAGGGACAGGAGCAGAGGGAACGGCCTCAGGCTGGGCCAGGGCAGGCTCAGGGGGGATTTTGGGGAAATTCCTCTTGGAAAGGTTGATCAGGCACTGGCACAGCTGCCCAGGGCAGTGCTGGAGTCCCCATCCCTGCAGGGATTGAACAGCCATGTGGATGTGGCACCTGGGGACAGGGGACAGTGGTGGGAGAATGGTTGGACTTGATGCTCTCAGAGGGCTCTTCCAACTTTAATGATTCCGTGAGCCTGCAGCAAGTCACAGCCTCCATCTCCCAGGTACAGCCCGCTGCTCCCTGGCTCTGCCGAGAGGGAGCGCACAGGGCTCGGTCAGCACCGACACCAATCCCGGGTGTGCCAAACCCCCCGGCCTGCCCGGGAACCGCCCAGCTCCTGTAGGAGCATCGGGGGTGGGACGGTGGGGATGGACAGAGAGCAGAGATGTCTGAGGCCAGGTCAGGAACTTGGGGTTCATTGCAGAGGGCCTGGGTGTAGGGCCCTGCTGGGAGCTGCCAAACACAGCTGGGGCAGGGCTGAGAGAAGAGAGGGGGAGAGAGGATGAGAGGGTGAGAGAGTAAAAGGGGTAAGAGAGTAGAGTTCCCGTTCCAGTACAATAAATCTCCTTCTGTGTTGAATATTCTAATTCTCACTAACCAATCTAGTAC